GGCGTCCCCGCGGCGCGGAGGAGCGGAGGGTCGGGGCGTCTGCCCGCCCGTTCCGCAGCAGAAACCCCCTCCGGCAGCCAAGCTGCCACCCCGGTGAGGGAAGGGCCTTGGTGGGCACCGGGAGGCCAAGCTGAGCCGGCGACCGCGCTGCTCCGCAGGCGACTCCATCATCCAGAACGCCGCCAACAGCGGCGTGGGCCAGGCCGTCATCCAGATCGCCAAAGCCTCTGGCATCAGGACCATCAACGTGGTCCGAGCCAGGTGAGCCGGCGCCGAGACCCGCTCTCCGGGGAGCAGGGGAGGCTGTGGCGCGGCCGCAGGGCCGCCCTGCTCCCAGCACCGACCGCCCATGCCCATGGGGACCACGGGGTGACACGGGCAGGGTGAGGCTGTGCACGAGGACCCCTGGGCAGGAGGGGGAAGGAAGGGGCTGCTCCTTGCCCCGTCCTCTGCGGCTCATCCGGTCTCTGCCTTCTGTTTCCCCTCCAGACCGGATCTCCCAAAGCTGGTGGAGAGACTCGTGTCCCTCGGCGCAGACCATGTCATCACGGAGGAGATGCTGAGGAAGCCAGACATGAATGACATATTTAAGGTACCTGCTGTTGATCCCTCCAGAGAGACGGTCCGAGGCTCTCCCTGTAGCTCTGAGCAAAGGTGTACGGGCGACGGGAAGGGCACTATGAAATCAGCTCTTCCAAATCTCTTCCAAACGTGCCCATCTGCTGACAGGAGCATGCAGTGAATCTGCCAAACTCTGGGTTTCAAAGTGCCTTTTGCAAAAGGCCACCTTGCTGGGACGCGTGTGTCTCTACTGCTCCAGTCACCTGGTCACCTCCCAGCCCTTCTCCAAGCTGAGCAGCGCGTCCAGCATCCAGCTGGCTGCCAGGAAGAGCCTTCCCAGTTAAACAGGGGAAAAAAAGGCCTTTTTGGGGAGCAGACTGCAATGAAGTGCTGCACCCCGATGTACTGCGGGGAATGTCCTGTGCTGAGAGCTGCAACATGTGTCTCTGATGGGGAATATCCTCCTGCGTGTGAGTTTTCCTGCTGCCCTTGGAGTGGTTTCCCTTGAGCCTTCTCTGGGTTGGCATTTAGCCCTGCAGCACCGGGGGCCTTCGCTGCTGCCGTTGGGTTTTGGAGCCCTGGTTAGGACCCTTCGCTGTCCCCAAGGAGACCCTGGTGCTAAGGCAGGTGCCTGCTCGGGGGCTGTGGTGTCACGCTCAAGAGAAGGGAACCCCCAGGCATGGGGGGCAGTGTCGCTTTCTGACGGCTGCTGGTGAGACCTTGGCTCTTGCAGAGCACCCCGAAGCCCCGGCTGGCCCTCAACTGCGTCGGAGGAAAAAGCGCGACCGAGATGCTGCGGCACCTGCAGTAAGTTTGGGCCAAAGAGCAAACTCGGGTCCTGCTGCGCGGGGAAGAGCTCCCAGCTCCCCACCACAAAGGGAGCTCCGGGGTCGGGAGGAGCCTGTCGGCACCGCAGGGCGTGGGGGCGTAACGGAAGGAGAGGTAAGAGACGTGGAAATCCGCACTGGGGACCGCAGCCGCCCAAGTGTCCCATTGCCCTTGCAGGCGCGGGGGGACGATGGTGACGTACGGGGGGATGGCGAAGCAGCCGGTGACGGTCCCTGTGGTGAGTATGTGACTCGCAGCCACGGGCTCGGCAGCTCCGCGCCCCCCCAGG